ATTCACTGAATGCTGTACTGAAAATGAAAAACAGAATGTTTGCATGGGACACTTTCATATCACCAGAAAGTCAAAAAAATCTTAAGTTGAATTATCACAAGTTGGGAACCAACTGTACNAACTCAGGCCCTAAGCAACTCAGTGAGACCCTGTCTCGAAATAAAATACAAAAAAGGACTGGGGGGCTGGGGTTGTGGTTCAGAGGTAGAGTGCCTAGCATATGTGAGGCCCTGGGTTCAATCCTCAGCACCAAATAAAAATAAATAAACAAAATAAAGGCATTGTGTCCATCACAACTTAAAAAAAAGAAAAGAAAGGACTGGGGATGTGGCTCAGTGGTTAAGTGCTCCCAGGTTCAATCCCCTGTACTAAAAAGAAAATATTAAAGGTAAATACTAAAAGGTAACTGGGTACAGAGTCATTGCACTTTACATACACTATCTCATTTCATCCCCACAATGATTCTATGAAGATGGAACTGAGGCTGGCCAACAACACTTATTTAGGGAGCCCTCTTTGATAAAGGAAAGGAAGCTAAAAGTGGAGCACCCATTCTGTATAAGGCATTTTACACATATTATAGGTGTTCCTTAATGTACGATGGCGTTATGATTCAATATACCATTATATAAGCTGAAAAATGGTAACTTTTTTTAAAAATTTTTTAATATTTATTTTTTTAGTTTTTTTTTTTTGGCGGACACAACATCTTTGTTTGTATGTGGTGCTGAGGATCCAACCCGGGCCGCATGCATGCCAGGCGAGCGCACTACCGCTTAAGCCACATCCCCAGCCCCGAAAAATGGTAACTTGAAAATGCATTTCAATATCTGATATTTTACAGAACATCATAGCTTAGCCTAGCCTACATAAAACATGCTCAGAATGCTTACATTAGCCTACAGTTCAGCAAAATCATCTAATGCAATGTCTTTTTTGTAATAAAGTATTGACTATCTCAAGTTAATTCACTGAATGCTGTACTGAAAATGAAAAACAGAATGTTTGCATGGGACACTTTCGTATCACCAGAAAGTCAAAAAAATCTTAAGTTGAATTATCACAAGTTGGGAACCAACTGTACTTTATTTGATCTTTTTAATTCCATGTGATGGGTACTACTTTTTATCACCACTTTGTAACTGAGGCTTACATTCTTCAAGAAACAAGTTAGATCTAAACCCAGCAATATGACTGAAGAACCTAWACTCTTTTTTGTTTTCATTTTGTTTTGGGTACTGGGGATTGCATCCAGGGGCACTCTATCACTGAGCTACATCCTCAGTCCTTTTAATTTTGGGGACAAAGTCTTGCAAAATTACTGAGGCTGGCCTTAAACTTGAACTTGCAATCTTCCTGCTTCAGCCTTCTGAATCACTGGGATTACAGGTCTGAATCCCCATGACCTCACCCAGGCAGAACCTAGACTCCTAACCAAGCCACAGGCATTCCAAAGAGGGAAGAGCATTAAGGACTGAATTCAGCTAATGGGATAGGGAAGCAAACACTCAAGAGAAGCTCAGGTTTATCTAAAGGAGTTCCACCATGACAACTGTACATAACACCCATCCTCAAGCTTCTGTTACTCAAACTACAATAAGCAGAGAATGATAGCCAGGTAAATTACCCTACTCAACTAGCTWGAGATTAGAAGCCTGGATTTCAATTCACTGACTCTTAATAGCTAAGAGACCTTAAGCCAGCCAGTTGACTTTTTCAGATATTAACTGTTTAATATGTCACAGCCTGGCCATATTTGTGGGGCTTGGGTATGTCTAGTTCTGGGATCTGAGACCCAGTACCCCCCTGGTTACCATGCCGCTCAGCCTCTGAGCTCACGGGAATGCCATCCTTGTCTAGTCTTTGCTTGAAGAGGTTGTGCTCCACATCCAGCTGCTGTTCCCCAGCCACATCCATGGCATCGATGCTCAAATCTGAAAGCAGATAGTCAAATTAAGGTACTAAGACCTCAAAGGAGTGGAGGTCTGGGTTTGGGGGAAAACAGCCTGTCTCAGGGCAGAAATGGATTAGGAGAAGGAGGCTGTCCTGGGGTCCAGTACAAATCTAAGGCTGGAAGTGTGAATCTGGAAGCCACCCTGAAAGCCATGGGACTTGCAACCCTCACCTATGATGAGATACTTACAGGCACAAGGCATGTGTGGGAAAAGTACATCGATGTTGATCTTCAGTTTATCTCCCCGTGACTTGTCCACGTAGAGCTCAGGATGCACCTGGGGCAAGCGCTATCTCAGTTAGATTTGGCCCCATGACTCTCCTTCCCCACGCCCACCTATAGAGGTCCGACCCCTCGGAAGCAAAGCCCCGCCCACTATTAGGCCCCACCCATTACCTCAGTGGTGAGGTAATACTGCAGCTCTGACAGGAACAGTAGCAGCATGAGAAGGCCACTGACGATGGTCACTGCAGGGCGAAGAGTGAGGGTCAGAACGGCCTCTGTGCCACTCCCTCAGACTCAAGCAGGCCGGTCTGAGTCCAGGCGCCAGGGCCAAGCTCCAGGACACCCCCTCCCCGCAACCTTGGCCCTGCTGCCGCCTACCCGTGGCGCCCCCGCAGGTCTTGACCCGGAAGTCCTCCAGAGTCTTGGGGTAGGCATCGAACTGCTTCAGCTTCCCCAGCGCCTCCATGGGGACMGGCCGGAAAGGGGACGCCAGCCGGCCCGCCTCTGCAGCCTCCTGCTTCCGGCCCGGAGCCGGAGCCACGCCTCCTCGCTTCCTTACGCAGGCGCAGCAAATGTTCATGATGACCCCACCCCTCGCCCGCGTTCTGACAGCTCGTCCCGCCCACTTATGCCGCCACGCCCCCTCGCGCCGTTGCACCTTTGGAGAGACCACGTGTGGGGTCCGGGAGGGACTAGGAGGAGGTGTCTGCGGGTTAGAAACACAGCAATAGCCGCCCTAACTTGCCTTGTGCCGAAATGCGCCGAGTGTTTCCSTTCGAGTGGTGTGGCGCTCAACTCCCGCTTCCTATTGCAGCTCGTACAGTAATACCGCCTTAATGACTAATGCGTAAAATGCGCCTCGCTTTTTCTTAGGTCAAACTACTTTTTTTTTTTTTCCCCTTATGTGATTCTGGGGATTGAACCGAGGCACTTACGGACGCTAGGCAAGCGCTCTACCACTGAACTACTTCCCAGTCCTCGTAGTTTTTTTTGTTTTTGTTTTTTCGGTACCAGGGATTGAACCCAGGGGCATTTAACCACAGAGCCACTTCCCCAGTCCTTTTTGTTTTATTTTTGTTTTATTTTTGTTTTGAGGCAGGGTCTCGCTAAATTGCTGAGTTTGGCTTTGAACTTGCGATCTTCCCGCTTCAGCCTCCCCAAGTCACCGGGATTACTGGCATGTGCCACTATCCCTGTTTGTTGTTTTTGACCCAGGGTATCACTGTGGCCCAGGTTGGATTGGAATTCCTGGACTCAAGCAATTCTCCTGGCTCAGTAATTGGGTGTCTTGGTTCATTTTCTGTTGCTATAATAAAATACCTGGATAATTTATAAAGGAAAGAGGTTTATTTCGGCTCATGGTTCTCAGAGAAGGGAAGTCAAAGATTATGMAGTTGCATCCAGTGAAGGTCTTGTGTTGTTTCATAGCATGGTAGAAGTTGGAAGAGAGAAGGCATGTGCATAAGAGAAAATAAGGGATTGAACTCCCACAATAACTAACCCATTCCTGTTCCTGAGAGAAAAGCACTATTCCATTCATGAGGGCTGTATTTCCGTGGCCCAAACACCTCCCATTAGGTTCACCATCCAACACTGCAGCACTGAGGAATTAAGGTTCCAACACATATAGGGGATATGGTGGGACCATTCATTGAGATAGGGACATTTTGGGAATGGATTGGTTTGTAGGGAAAATCACAAGTTTGGCCTCAGACTTGTTCAGGTGAGATGATTTTGAGACATGTAAGTGGAAGTCCACTGAAAGAAGAGACATTGCTGGATGTGGTGGTGCACACCTGTAATCCCAGTGACAGGAGGTTGAGGCAGGAGGATCATAAGGTCAAGGACAAGTTTGGTAACTTAGCGAGACCCTGTCTTAAAGCAAAAAAGATAAAAAGGACTGGGGATGTAGCTCTGTGGTAAAGCATTCCTGAGTTCAATCCCCTGTGCCAAAAAACAAAAAAAAAAAAAAAAAAGAAAAGAAAAAGAAGAGACACATGGGCTGAAGGTATGACTCAGTGGTAGAACACTTGCACTTGCCTAGCCCTGAGTTCAATCCCTAGCACCATCAAAGAGAGAGAGACAGAGACATGGTCATTTCTCTCCCTGTGGGTCTTATACTCAATGTAATATGCATTAGAGAGAAGATAGGGTGGTAACTTTTTCTAGGCAGGTTATAGGAAGGAGGTCACAATGTGTACTTTGATGACACTGAGAGATAATCCTTCCTTCTGTGGGATGCATTTGGGACACCAACTTATGTTATCTCTCTGTTCTGGCATTTTCCATCTCAGGTCCCCTCAGAGTTCTCTTTGGGGTGAGCAAATGGATGGGGAGGTAGGACATGAGAAGGTGGAAAGAGGTGGAGGATGGAGGGCCGGGGAATTGTGGTGGCCAACAGGTCAGAGGAATGCAAGTGCTATCTGTAGCCTCTTATACTCAATGTAATATGCATTAGAGAGAAGATAGGGTGGTAACTTTTTCTAGGCAGGTTATAGGAAGGAGGTCACAATGTGTACTTTGATGACACTGAGAGATAATCCTTCCTTCTGTGGGATGCATTTGGGACACCAACTTATGTTATCTCTCTGTTCTGGCATTTTCCATCTCAGGTCCCCTCAGAGTTCTCTTTGGGGTGAGCAAATGGATGGGGAGGTAGGACATGAGAAGGTGGAAAGAGGTGGAGGATGGAGGGCCGGGGAATTGTGGTGGCCAACAGGTCAGAGGAATGYAAGTGCTATCTGTAGCCTCAGTTCCACATCCCTCCAGGTGACAGAAGCCAGTCTACTGCTTGCCATGTGAGCCATTTCCTGGGCCAGACATGAAGCACTGTTGGAAGATTTTTGTCCTTTGGGTCTTCTGGGTGTTCATCTTGTGGCTGGTGATCTCCTACCTGGATCTGACAGCTGAATCATCATCCCAGGAGAAACGGATGTACCTGATACCATGGCATCGCAACTGCTCTTGGTTTAAATTCGGGAAGTGTGGCTGCCTATTTGGGAACCTCAGCTGCTCCTCCTGTCACCACACAGTCAGAGAATGGAGCTGGTTTGAAGCATGTCATGAAAAGACCACAGGGTATCTGACAAAGACAAAAGTTCTCTGATGGCTAATTAGTGGTTGGCACTGGGTCCTGATTTATCCCCTTTCCTTCCAGGCCTAGCTTATCTCTTTCTGGCCCAAACCCCTGCCCTCAGCCTGATTTAATGCATTTCCCTCCTTTCAGCCTCAATCCCTGATTTCTGGCTGCAGGTCTCACCTACTCAAGCCTGTTTCCTTCCACTGATATCTGGCCCAGGCTGATACCAGTTTCCTCCTTCTGCTATTACCAGGACATAATCTCAGTGAGCAAGCTTGGAAAAGTATGGAAGATGCTATAGAAAGTGATTCCCAGACCCTTGTTTACATTTTGATTTCTGTTGGATCTGTGCTTTGTGGAGGACTCACAGATCCCACTGGGCTCTGGTCTCAGCAACACTGACCAACACTGCATGGTCTTCAGTTGGGTACTGAGGAAAGGGCAGCAAGCAGGGTGACAGGTCTATCCTAGGTTCTGTCAGTTTACACTTTCTTTCCCAGGATGAACCAGGCTCCTGTGCAGGACCTTGAGGCAGATATGGGGAACCAAATCACAGGACCTTTCATCTGTCCCAGCAATGCCAGTGACCAGGGTTCCTGGAAGCAGCTGCTATAACTTTCTGAACTATCTGGGACTTCAAATGCTGTGACCAACAAGGTATACAGATAGTCTGTGTGGTGGTGAAGAGAAGTCACTTCAGGGGAAGGCAGAAGGATTCTGGAGAAAGTTTCTTCTGGCTTACTGTGGGCACCTRCAGGACTTTCCCAAGTCTCAGGAGCTTTCTGAAACTCTACCACCTCCATTTTGGAAGATGGTCTGGTTCCCTAGGGGAGTGGGAGATAATTGAATGTGAAGAGCAGGGAAATAGAAGGTTGTGGCTATGGGTTGCTCAGGCCAGCCCTCGCCCTTCTCCCTCAGGTAAAAGAGGGCAACTGGCTGGAAAACCAGTCAGTATCCAATCCTGAGGCTCATGGCTCTGTTCTGGCCTTGTGTACCTGTGCCTAGACATGAAATTATACTTTTATCACCTAAAATTTCCGTTCCCCATTCCCTTCAGCATAGAGTCTAAAGTTTTCTGTCTGATATTCAAGGTTCTGCATAGTCTGATCCACCTCCTTGTCTCTTTTCTCCCAGGTGCTCACATTAGGCTTCTTGGGTTCCCCCAAATATARTAGCTACCTCAGGCTACCCCATAGGCTGTACCTTCTGCCTGGAATTCCCTTTTCTTACCTCCCTGGAGGAATCCTCTCCTCCTCCAGTGTCCTGGGAAGCAGCTAAGCTAGTTGATGGTCCATTTGGGGTTTCAGGGTGATTTTTTTTTAATGCCTGCTTGATTTGTTTTTCTCTTAGTTGTCAATAGACTTTTATTTATTTATATGCAGTGCTGAAAATTGAACCCAGTGCCTCACACATGCTAGACAAGAATTCTATCRCTGAGCTACAACCCCAGCCCCCAGGGGGACTTTTTGATATTGTTTATTTTACCATGTCTAGAATCTGTCTTCCCTGGAGTAATGAGCTTCATTCTCCTTCCTGTTCTCCAAAGATCCTGCACTCTATATGTTGAATGAGGGGAGGTGGGGTAAGGACAGATTCTGGCTGCTGACACATACATCCCTGTCTTATCCATCAGCCCTCCCTGTTTGGATTTGAATCAGAACAGCAAAGAAAGCCATCCTGTTGCTGAAAGAATAACAAGCAGACCAGTGGCCCCCAAGAGATCCCGTCTATGCAGAGTACAGAAGCAGAAACGGAAGTTGCCAGCCAGATAGGGTGTGCTGTACACCATTCATACGTGGCCCCCAGCTGAGACCACACAGGTCCTATTCCTTTGGAACTGAATGCTGGGGAGGCTTTAGATTGCAGCAGCGGCATGGAGACTGCAGAAACTTACAGGGGTAAAGAACAAGAGGAAATTGTATGGAGATCAGTCTGGTACTGAATAAAATTCTAGCCTGATTCTGTTTCTGGCAGCACAGTGCCTGGGAAGGAAGGAACAGATCTCAGGGGCCATGTTTATGGTAATTGCTCTGTCTGATCCCCTGGATTGTACAGGAGGTGTAAATTTAGACCCAACTCCATGCAGAGTGTGTGAGGGAGGCTCTTTCATCATTAGGTTAAACCAGCCAGCCTCCTTGCTTTACCCATGTGAGGGGGCAAGGTATTTTCTAGCCCAGCTTTTTACTGAAGGTTCAGAATTTTGAGGTTCTCAGTTCATTTAGGGGTCTCAGTTCCAATTCTCTGTCTTCCCTGGACTGAAGACCCTCTGCCCACATAAACATTGTTTTAGTCAGCTTTTTTTCATCACTGTGACCAAAAGACCTGACACAAATGATTTAGAGAAGGAAAAGTTTATTTTGGCTCATGGTTTCAGAGGTTCAGTCCAGTTCAGCCAACTCCATAACTCTGGGCCTGAGGAGAGGCAGAATATCATGGCGGAAAAGCAGGGAGGAGGGAAGCAGCTCAGAACATATCAACCAAGAAGCAGAGAAAGAGTTCCGCTCACCAAAGACAAGATATAAACCCCCAAAGGCATAACCTATCTGCCTACAGTTGCCATTKCTTCTCCAGCCACACCCTATCTGCCTATAGTTACCACCCAGCTAATCCATATCAGTGGATTAATCCACCAATTAGGTTACACCTGTCATGATCTAATTGTATCACCTCTGAAAACTCTTGCATGAGCTTTTGGAGGGCACTTCATATCTAAATCATAACAAGCATTAAATTTTCTAAATTCTTGGGCTGTATTTCTGTTCTCTGAGGTTCTTGTACTTTCCTTACTTGAAATTTCTGTTCCCCAATGCCTTCAGTACAGCAACTAAAGTTTTCTGCCTGGAAGTCGCCTGTCAGCTAGGGTATGCAGGCAAGCTCACTGTCTACACATGATGCTCAGTTAATGCTCTATAGGTCCTAATCCTTTGGGCCCAAATGCTGGGGAGTTTTAAGATTGCAGCAAATCTTTTCTCAAAATGATCAAACACATTGAATTAATCAGTTTCATTATTTTCAGAGGAGGAGATTATTTCCTACTGGAACTGAAAAAAAATATCCATATGGAAAAGATGAAATTGGTCCCTACCACATATCACATACAAAAATTTAACCCCAAATGGATTAAGGACTTAACTGTCAAAGAAAAATAGCCAGGCAATGGTGGTAATTCCAGCCACTCAGGAGGTTGAGTCAGGAGAATCTCAAGGGAAAAAAAACCTTGGAAACTAGTAGAAAATATAGGTAAATATCTTATAGATCTTGGGATAAGAAAAGATTGATTAAACATGAGACAAAAGGATTGACTATAAAATAAAAGATTGATAAATTTGACTATATTAAATGTACAAACTTTTGTTCATCCAGACCTCTGAAAGTTTAAAAAAAAGCCCTAAAAACTCAGAGAAGAGAGTACTGGGATTGTCGCTCAGCGGCAGCGCAYTTGCCTGGCATGTGTGAGGCACTGGGTTCGAATCTCAGCACCACACATAAATAAATAAAGGTTTGTCAACAACTGAAAAAAAGAAAAAGGTTTAAAAAAATTCAGAGAAGATAATCACTGTACATATAACTGAGAAGTCAGTATCAATACTATTTGACAAATTCGTAAATAAGGACAAAAGCAGGGGCTGGGGTTGTGTCTCAGCGGTAGAGCACTCRCCTAACATGTGTGAGGTGCTGGGTTCGAGCCTCAGCACCACATAAAAATAAATAAATAAAAATAAAGGTATGTGACCAACTACAACTAAAAAAAAATTAAGAACAAAAAACAGTCATTAAAGAATGAGCAAAAGACAAACTGACATCTGACATCTTGAGAGAGGAAAAAACATATGGCCAATAAACATTTGATCACCAACATTATTGGTGGTCAGGGAAATTAATATCAAGACCACAAATTAGATACCATTTTTCATTTTAATTTTCAATAGTTAAAATATTTAAARTCTAACTATATTAAATAAGGGAGAAAATGTTATTCATTGGTAAAATGGTAAAAATAAAACTAAAAAAGTGTCTATTAAAAAGTTTAGATCTAGCAATTCTATTTCTTGCTAACTTACATTTTTATAACAAGACATATATTAGAATATGTTTAATATTTCTAATGTCTAATATTCTTTGCAGCACTCTACAGTAACAAAAAACCTCCCAGGGTTGACTTTTTATTTTCTTTTTGAGAACTATGTAAACACATGCAAAAAATCTGTTTTAATTGCATCATTCAGAAAGACTATTTTTGCTGATTTTTCAAAAAGTTTTTATTTTTTAAATATATTTTTTAGTTGAGAATGTATACAATACCTTTATTTTTATGTGGTGCTGAGGATTGAACTCAGTGCTAGGCAAGCGCTCTACCACTGAGCCACAACCACAGGCCCGAAAAGGTTTTGTTTTTAATTTATGTATAATAATTGTACATATTTATAGAATACAATGTGATATTTTGATACATATATAGTATAATGATCAAATCAGGATAATAAGCATATTCATCATCTCTAACGTTTATTAATTCTTTGTGGTGAGAACATTAAAAAATTCTCTCGGGCTGGGGTTGTAGCTCAGTTGGAACAGTGCTTGCCTCACATACACAAGAACCTGGATTCAGGGCTGGGGATGTGGCTCAAGTGGTAGCGCGCTCGCCAGGCATGTGCSCTGGGTTCGATCCTCAGCACCACATAAAATAAAATAAAGATGTTGTGCCCCCCCAAAAAAAAATTTAAAAAAAGAACCTGGATTCAATCCTCAGCACCACCCAAAAAAAAAAAAATCCTTTCTTCCAGTTACTTCGAAGATACACAAATTTCTTTTCTTTCTTTTTTTTTTTTTTTTTTTTGGTGGGGGGTAGCAAGGATTGAATCCAGGGGCACTTAACCACTGAGATATATCCTCAGCCCTTTTAATTTTATTTTTTTAAAAAATTTGAGACAGGATCTCACTAAATTGCTCAAGGCCTCTCTATTTTGCTGAGGCTGGCTTGGAACCTGAAATCCTCCTTCCTCAGCCTCCAGAGCCACTGAGATTACAGGTGCAATTAAAATTAAATTCCTTGTCCTTTGGGCTCTGAGCTGAAGGCCAAAGTAAAGTAGGAGGATTTGATCATGATCCTACATAGAAGAGGTCACAATGCATTCTCTGTGATGAGGTCCCTAATATTGCTGGGCTGGCAGGGAAGACCCCCTTGAGCATCAATATCCTCAGGGAGGCCACAAGACATAGAAATGTCATGTCTCCCTTTCATTCTCTCATTCATGCTCTGGTAGCTCTCTTTAGAGATTAGCAGGTGGGTAGGGAAGCCAGAATCAAGTGTTGGGTGGTGTGAAATGGAAGATTTGGCAATGGGATGAAACTATCAGCATGAGTGACACCAGGAATGTCTTTGGCCCCAGGCCCTCCTCTCTTCCTGTGCCAGGTATCAGAGCCAATCTGCTGTCTGCTAGGGACTTCCATTGGAACCAGAGATGAAGGTTCGATACTGGACTCTGTGTCTGACAGCTCTCTTTATGCTTTCATTGTGGATGATGGCTTCTTTCCTGAACCAGAAGGTCAGCCTAGATGTTATGGACGACTTACGTTTAAGGATCTGCCGCTGTTCCAGAAATATTTCCAGAAAGTGCAGCTGCTTATCTAAAGTCCGTGAGTGCTCTGCCTGCCTCTACATACCTGGAGAGTCTGACTGGTTTGACAGACACTTTGAAAAGGGAATAGAGCCCCTGATGTCAGAAAATTCCATGTCCTATGATGCTCTGGGATTGTGGCTGGTCAGTGCATACTCTTGGTCTCTTTCAGATCCGCCCCCCAACAGGGGCTCTGGTCATCTGTGCCTCATGGCATAGACTCATAACTTTTTTCTACAGGTAGCTGGAGCCTGGACTAAGCCCCTAAATTCCCCCTTTCTATGCTCTAGGGACTTCAGAGAGTCAGGTCACAGAAGAATGTTAAGAGTATGCAGTTAACTAATGTTTTTCCCGCACATTCCTTGGACCATTTGAAGTCTGGATGCCAGAGCTGTGCAGTGGTAGGAAACTCAAGGTCCTTACTAGGTTCTGGTCTTGGCTTCAGGATTAACCAACATGATGTGATACTCAGGTAGGTATAGGGTAAGAGGTGGAAACCTGAAAGGCTAAGCCAAACCCTTTTCCTTCTCTAAATAACCATCCTGCCCCTTCTTTCCAGGATGAACAAAGCCCCTGTCCAAGGCTTTGAGACGGATGTGGGGAATACCACCACCTTACGTATTGTGCAGCCTGAGATTGCCAGCACTGAGAGCCCCGAACCCCAGCTGCTGCTTCCATTGAATTCATCTGGTCTGAGATGGATGATGACTGTGCTACGTGACTATAAACTCTCCTGGAAGCCAAGAAACCCTGGGTATGTCAGAAGGGATGGCCATTGTATTGTAGTGACGGGAACTTCAAAAAGATCCTTGCTGAATGTTGGGGTCCCCCAAGGCCTACTTGATCTTGGGGGCTGCTGTGTCAAATGACTGACCTAATCCTTTTTTAGATTTCGGATAGTCCATTTCACTGATGTAACCAAAGACAAGGTGAGCGACCCAGGAAGGAAAAAGGGAGAGAAGGAGGAACCTGGGTGGCCATGGACAGACTTCAGGTCAGCACTCTCTTCTACCTTCCTCAGGTTCTGATTATCAGCATCTCCTTCCTTAAGTATATCCAGGAAAATTGGCTGGAAAACTATGGTCAGTATCCATCGTTGGGGTTTGTGGCTCTGATGTATGCCTTGCATACCTGTGACCAGGTAAGACATCTTCTGGAACTCAAGACCTTCATTCCTCTGTTTAACCTTAAGTTTTCTGCCTGGCTTTCAAGAAAGACCATGCATGATCTGACCTATGGCTTCCTCTGTCCCAAACTCCAACACTGGGCTTTTTGGGTTCCCCTAATGACACCACCTGCATTATGCCTTCTCACATGCCTGGAATGTTCTTCTGTATCTGGAGGGAATCCTCTTTCCTCAACATGTTGGGAAAAAGCTAGCTGATACTTACTCTTTTCTGGGCTCCAGGGTTACTCTGAGTATTCAGAGTTTATCCTCCTGGATGAGTGAACTCCTTCYTCCTCCCAGCCCCAAGAGGTGGCTGCACACTGGGTGTTGAGTGTGTTTGCTGAAGGAGTGGCAAGTGTGCATGGGGGCAGGACAGGATCCAGCCTGTTTCCCATGGGCATCTCCTGTTTTATCCCGTCTCCCAGGTGTCCTTGTTTGGCTTTGGAGTAGACCATCACAATAGATGGACCCACTACTGGGATGATAAATATCTGAGCTATGACATCATGAGAAAGTTCCCCAAAGAAAACGATGTCATCATTAAGTTGCAGTGTGAGGGGAAGGTTGCTGTCTACAGATGAGATGGCTCTACTGAAGCCCCAGGAAGCAGACAGGTAGCCAAAGAGACCCTGGAGGGTCAGAGAGGGACTTAACTTCAAGTGGACACAATGGAGATCACTCTGCTACTCAATAAAACCCTAGTTTATTTCTCTCACTGAATTCCTAGTATCATTAAAGGGCTATGTTCTATAACTGATTCTCAACAGCAAATGTATCATGTGACTCATACTATATATTATCAAAAACCAAAATTAATGAAAACCAGATAAATCTGAAAACAAATCAATAGAATCTAACTGTGTATCAAATTGATAAAATAACCACCAGAAAAAGGACTATTTCAAGTTCCCTTACAGGGCATCCTTTACAGGATATTAAAGGATAAAAAGAACTATACAAGGACTGTCACCAGACACCTGATACGTAGACACCTTGATCTCAGATTTCCCAGTCTCTAGAATTAAAAGATCTAGCCAGATGAAGTGGAATACACCTGTAATCCCAGAGCCTGGGGAGACTGAGACAGGAAGATTGTTAGTTTAAAGCCAGTCTCAGCAAATAGAATATAAAAAGTCTGGGGATGTGACTCAGTGGTTAAGTGATCTTGGGTTCAATCCCCAGTACAGAAGCAAAAAACAAAACAAAACAAACAAACAAACAAAACMCCCCAAAACTAACCCCCTTAGGTTTTACTCAAGTATCTGTGAGTAAAATCATGTGCAATGGGAACTTAAATATCCGAGGCAATTCTATGGTCAGTCAAAAGTTGAGAAGTTGTACTTTGGTAGGACTCTCTAGAAACTTCTCTAAGATCCAGATAAAAATTAGGGAACAAAGGGGAGTTTTGGAATGTTGTCACTGTCCTCTTCATGACCTACCCTCTCCATTGAGGGTGTAATTTACTTCTCTTATAGTAAACTTAGCTATACTTCAAAACAAAACAAAAAACCTTAAACTTCACTCAAAATTTAATATATCATTGGTATTATTTTTTGAAACCATAGAATAAATGTCATAAATTAAATAAATATACTAATACTACTAGGAACCAAATACAGAACCAGTTAGGTAAAATAAAAACCCTATGACGTTAAATTCAAACTGGAAATATCATTAGAAACTCAATTTCTGGRTTAATTAATTAGCTTATTTATATATTTATTTTTAATGCTGGGATTGAGCCCAAGGCTTATATGCTCTACCACTGAGCTATATCCCCAACCCTTTTTATTTTTTATTCTAAGACTTTTCTTCCCCCCTCTCTACCTCCTGACAATCCTCACTGGGAATTGATGGTGGCCTTCTCAGAAAGATGTACATACCAGCTTCAGTTCTGTTCTTGCCCTTTCTTATTGCTGTCCCCATCACACTTGGCTGCCAAGCCCTCTTTCCTAAACTGGGCCTTTGGCGAATGTCAAGGTGAAGAGTCTTAGGACAAAACAGACATGCAGGAACTCACATGTGATTTGGGTGATGAGCCCCTGATATAACTGGGCTAGCATGAAGGACTCTATTGGGTATCAACCCAGGGCAGACACAGGATACGTTAAATGTCACCTCACCCATCTCTCCTCAGTCTCCAGGCAGAGCTCCCTTCAGGACTTAACAGGTGGACAGACAGGCAAGAGGTAGTGTTGGAAGGAGGTGTTTGTGGAAGGCTGAGGAGAGATGAAGGCCAACAGTGCAGTGGGATGTGGAACTCTGTGACCACAGCTCCCCGCTGTTCCCAGTGCCTGGCCCAGCCTGCCACTTACTATTTGCTTTGTCCAAAGGGAAAAAAAGAATGCGGTCTTTAATGGGGACTTTGAGGCTTGGTAGATGCCTTAGTGCTTCCGTGGCTGATGTTAAAAAAATATATATATTTTTTTAGTTGAACACAATACCTTTATTATTTTAAAATTATTTTAAAAAATATTTTTTAGTTGTTGATGGACCTTTATTTTATTTGTATGTGGTGCTGAGAATTGAACCCAGTACGTCACACATGCTAGGCAAGCGTGCTACCACTGAGCCACAACCCTAGCCTAATACCTATATTTTATTTATTTTTATGTGGTGCTGAGGATCAAACCCAGGGCGTTGCACATGCTAGGTGAGTGCTCTACCACTGAGCCACAATCCCAGCCCCTCCCCGCCCCATGTTCCTACTTAAGAAAAAGAATTCTTTTTTAGTTAAAAGTAGACAACAATATCTTTATTTTTAATTTTATGTGCTGCTGCTCAACATGGCAGGCTTGGTCAGCACTTCAGATGGGTCCTAAAGCCTCCGAGGATCTGGAGGCCTCCTTGTCTCCAGAGGCTGGTGGAGGGTCTTCAGTCCTGGACTCTGGGCTGCACTCTGTCCTTGACCTCTTTCTCTTTTGGGTATCCCTCTCCAATGGGGTACAGTACATTCTATACTGGGACCTTGGGATGAGTGGTCAGTAATTTGTGCTCTTCTCCACAGGTACCAAGCTTGATTTCAGATAAGAAAGAACTATTCTAGTGGATCCCTAGGCCACAGCCAGACCCTGGYACCCTTCTAAGCCAATCCTGTGCTGTGGTGGGAACGTGAGGATCTCAAGTATTTGGGATAACCAAGGATGAAGAGGCAGGAGGGAGAATGTGGGAGCTGTGCTTGGCTATGTCCTGTCTCTGCAGAAGGAACCAGGTGTCCCACTTCTGGGYTGTGTGAATGATGTAGGCAGTTGCCAACAATAGGTCTTGTGCCTGTGAGCTAGGTTTAGTCTAGACTGTGTCCATCAGGCTCAGTCCATGTGACAACTTCTGCCACAGTCCATCCTCTGAACTGGCTTGATGCATAGTTAGAGGAAGGGGACCAGAGTCAGTTCCAGTTGATATGCCCAGGAAGGTACACCTTACAGCCATTCATGCAGATAACCATGTGTCATGGGGAACAAGGCCAGATGGAGCTTCTCAGCTCTAGAGAACCTGACTGTAGCCACATATTAACCCAGTGTTTTTGAAACCCAGAACTTATTTTATATTAAAAACATTTGGTGGTTCCTCATTGCCCAAGAGTTGGAAGTGGAAGCCCTCTATAATCTACCCTCCTCCAACCTTGGCCCCCACCCTCTGCTATAGCCAGATCAGTCTTCTCACTGATGAACTTAGCAGCACCCCATCTCCTGATCTTTCCTGAAGGGCCAGTTCATGCCTCCCTCCCTCAGTCCCCATGTACTTCTAGTCAGTACATAGAGCTGCCTCTGACTTGTTTCAAGTATTAGTCTGTTCTCATCAATTGGACTCCAGGCTCTGTGTGGACAGGGACTTTTGTCTTGTGTATATAACCCTGATCAGAGAGCATGACATGCAGGAAGTTCATGTTACTTGCAGGAATTAGCAAATTCTTCCCAAATTCCCTTGATGTGCAGCTGCTGCCCAGTTACACAAGTGGAGATAGCAGCAGAGGACTAATGCAGAGCCTAGGTTTATTGTTGAAGGGAAAGGCAAGAGAGGAGGTGAGGTGTTTGGAAAATAAATTGCAGACAATAGGGAAACAAAACCTCCCTGAAGTTAATGCACAGAATGCTCACAACATGGACAAGAACACCCACACACTGTCGTCATTGTTGAAGACCTAGTGTGGGCTATTCTGSTTTCTTCTGGCTGTAAGCCAGTAGCTGCCCCTTGGCCAGGACAAGGCACTCCTTGGGTGAGTCTAAGTTATCAGGCAAATGTGATTTGCCTCATTCCCGCGTAAGCTGGGGCCCTCTCCAGCCTTGTGGTTCTCTATCTTCTTCCTGGGAATGCCAGGTAATCTGGGACAGCCAGGCTGGATAACAGAGCAGATCTTTCCTTTGGCAAACCTATAGCCACTATGGTCATCTGTCCATATGCCATCAAGCTGGCCTGTATCCTGCTCTAGCTGTGGCTGCTACCTGGGGGTGGTGTGGGTAGTGCTGGGGCTGGGGTATAGCAGGACTGGCCCTGGAGATGTCAGACTTTGGGTCAGGGACTCATCCAGCTTGCGGGTCTCAGCCTCTAGGACAGTAGCTTCAGGGGCCTGTGCCACAGCAAGAAGAGAGTGGGACAAGCTGTGGTGTAGGCCTGCTAGCTCACGGCTGGTCTGCACAGAGCGAGCGATGTAGTCCTGCCTCTGCTTCCGTTCCAAAGCCAGCTGGGCTCGTAGCACGGCCACCTGGTGGGCAGGAAAACCAAGAGGGAGAGCAGTTGAGGGCCCTGCAGCTGTCCATCTTGTCTGCTCTGTGCTCTTGTGGCTCTTGGCCTAGCATTCATTTACACACATGAACCTCAGAATCAGGCTTTAGGGTGTCTGGGACAAGGACTCAGARAATCCACTAATTCACAACCCTGACTGCCCCAATGATGCAAATAGGGAGCTTCAAAACAACAAAACTGTTCACCAGCTTTACTGAATTTAAATCAGCTTTACTGACTTTAAATGTATAATTTGATGAGTCTGATAATGACATAACCTACATGTAACCACTATCCCAAAGACACAAAACATTTTYACACTGCAGAATGTCCCATCGTGTCCCTTTGGAAGGTTTTCTTTTTCTTTTTTGGTACTGGGGATTGAACTCATGGGCACTTTACCACTGAGCTACATCCCCCAGCCCTTTTTATTTATTTTTTAAAATTCTTATTTATTTTTTTTTTGCAATCCTCCGGCCTAAGCCTCTTGAGTTGCTGGGATTATAGGTGTGCACTAGGCCTTTTGGAATATTTTTAAAAATATTCTGACTTAATTAGATTGGAGTGGGGCCAGGTATTGGTAATTTTTCAAAGCTCCCCAGGTGATCCTAATGCGAAGCCATGGTTGAGAATCATTGGCTAATCCTTTCATTTTTTCAGATGGGTCTAATGAGACAAGCAAGGAGGTGAAGCTACAGGGATCTCAGGGTGGTACAGGACTAGGGTGAGGCCTAGGGTGCAAATCTAAAGAGGTGCTCCAGGTCAAAAGTGAGTGCCCCCTTAAATACTACAACCCAGAAGTACCTCTTATCTCACTCTGCCAGGGCCCTGTCTCAGTATTGCTTTGTATAAGTTCAACMGAATTCAAAGAAACAGCTGGAGTCTAGCTACAGAGTCAGGCCCTACCAGTAGTAACTACTGATTTCTGATACAGGCCAGAAATCAAAATTCCATACTTCTTATTACTCCTGGGCATTGAGAAAGAGTGAGCCTTGGCTTGACCTATGCACAATGTTCCTCTGCCTGGAGTGCTGGCAATAGTCCAGCCTGTAAGGGTGCAGCTAAGGTACAGGGGGCCAGCCTAGTTTTCCACACTCTATTCTGTTTTAGAATCTTTGCTCCTCAGGCCTCTTTTTTTCCCTCTTTCTTTCCAAATATGAAAATGGAGATTGGTCTGGAACATGCTCTTTGTTCTATTCCCACCCTAAGTACATGGCAGGTGGAGTTGGGGCAGGGCTCCTCTTGCCTCCCAGGGAGACTGAAGTTCTCTGAAGGCTGGAACTACTTCCCCTCTCCCTGTTGGAGGTACTCAAAAGGCCAAGCACACAGTAGACACTGATACCTTGTCATTTAAGTGTGTGACTTAYAAAACGGATTCTTCTAGAACATACCTCTTTCTGCAGGTCAGCTATATACTTGGCATCTGAGGAACCGCTCTGTCCTCTTCTTCCATCCTAAGGAAGATACACCCATCTGGTTGGAATGGACCTTCCCACTCTGGGGTTTCTACAGGTATTCTTTGGCTACCTCATCACAGTCTTGGGACATGAGCAAGGGCTGTGGGCCARAAGTGCCTAAACCTAACCCTAGATCTCTATGGGGTACCATATCCCAGGGCAAGGAGAGGCCCAGGCAGGCCCACAGCAGCATAAGGGACAATGCTCACAGAGACCTGATGTTAGAAAGGCTTGGCACTTTTATTTAATAGAAGCATGCCAAACATCTGCTCTGTGCCCAGTCCTTTGCTGGGAACTAAGGATGAAAAGGAGACAGACATAGTGCCCAGAGCTGGGAGAGCTAGAGATGCTCACCAGAAACAGTCCCTCCTTGCCAGGCTGCAATACCTCAACTAAAGAATGATAATTTAGGGAGAATCTTTTCTAAATACCTTATCCAAAAAAGTGACTCTGTTCCTAGCAAATACCATGGATCTTAACCTTGTACTGCAAGGAGGTCTAAGAGAATTGTGTTCAAGCATCCAGGCACATTGGGGGTTGGGAAGTACCATACAACATCCTGTGCCAGTGTGACTATAGCCCTGCTCCCACTGAGTCTGGGGTACTGGTCTGGGAGTGGGCAGATCTGAGCTCCTCAGAATGCAGGATCACTACACTTGCCTCCCCCAACCCACTGGTGTTGGGCCTCCTTCTAAGGCAAGGAGAGCCTGAGCTGTGCCCAGTTCGGTAAAACCGTCAGGAGGGGCTCTCTGAATTGGCTGGAGTGGCCACCTTCCCACCTGAGGGTGCCTGGGATATGCAATGTAGAGGGCCAAGTTTGTGGTGGCTGAGGGTGCAGGTGAAGAAAATAGGTGCACCTTCTGTGTGGGTGATGAGGCTGCGGTGTCACTGATCTCCGGGGCCTCTGCCCGAGATGTGCGCATGGAATCCCTTTTCAGCTTCCTCCGTTCTCGCTCCACCTGCCAAGATGTGAATGTCAGACCAGGTCTTGGCTTGGGGCCAGAGTATGTGCAGGGGCTCACAGCAGCATAAGGGACAATGCTCACAGAGACCTGATGTCCTGAGGAGTGTAAACGGACAGCAACCATGGGCAGTGAGACTCCTGAGCTGGGAAAAGCATGTGCTAGGGCAGCCCTGAGTGCAAAAAAGTGCTCCTGAGGCAGGAGAAGGAGGCTACTTCTCAGGCCTTTGGCTCAAAGGTCAGCAAACTTTTTCTGTGGCAAGTATTTTAGRCTTTGTGGGCCGTTCTAGTTCTGTCACAACTATTCAGCTCCTCTGATGTAGTGGACAAGGCCATAGACAATGCATGGCTGTGTCCCAATAAAACTATCTCAGAAGCAGGTGGTGGGCTGGGTTGGACTCACAGGCTGTAGTTTACCAACCCTTGCTTTGGGAGCTGCATGAGAAGTAGAGATGCATGTGTACCCAACCACAGAAGAGGAGCCAAGGACAGCAGAAGTCACTGACCTGCTCCAAGGTGGTCTGCAGCTGGACGTTGTGGCGCTGCAGCCTGCTCCGATCAATTTCCAGTCGGGCCACCGCTTGCTGAAGGTTTTCAAGCCTTTGTTTCCACGACTGTTGCTGCTCCATTCCAGAATTAGGCTCAGCCTCCATTCCTGAGGCCTGTGGGGAAGGCTTGTGAATCTCACCTGGGCAGCCCCACAAATAGTTGGGGGAACAGACCAAGAGCAAATGTACCAATTAAGCAGGTCTGGGCTTAAAGGGACCCAATTTGTAAGGAAGAGGAACAAGCCTGACAAAAGCTCCCTCTTTTGACCATTGGTTCCCACCAGCCCTCGGCTTACCTCTCCGGGCTGTTCGCTCTGCTCTGCTCTGGGCTCCTGCTCCACTCTGCTAGTTGAGTGTGGGCTGTGTAGTCGCTCCTCCTCCAGAGCCTGTCTGGTAAGGTCCAGCTCTGCCTGGGATATGGAGGTATAAGACAAAAATCACACCATGCCTGTCGCATATCCAGACTCACCACAGTCTCTGTCTTTATAAAACCCGTTTGACTTCTTCACCAGGGTATAGTTTTAGTTTTCCTGGAGCCTCTGAGTGATTCTAGTCTAGACCCCTCATTTTCCAGATGAAGAAACAGAGTGAAGAAGGATCTTCCCAAGGATTCCTGGAGAGCCTGCACGTGAGCTAGGACCAGAGCTGCCATCTTATTTCAGGTCTCCCATGAAGCCAAGCAACAACTTGGGGCAAGGACTCCTGGAGTCATACAGAGTTGGATGTGATGTCACCACTTATTGGTTGTATGACTCAGGTCAAGATTTGAGATCATTCCAAGCCCAAATTCCTCATATATAAAACGACTATATGCTCTATAAAACAAGGATCACACCCTTGAGGTTAAATCCCTTTGGATGAATGGGGAAACTGGAAACCTAATACTAGATAGTTTCTCAGCATCTGGTGTTTCATAAAAAACAGTCAAGAAAAAAGATTCACAAGAGGGAATGAGCATACATGCGTGGTGGCACAGGCTGTAAGTGAGAGAGGAAGAGCTGACCCTGATGTCAATAACCTCAGCTCTAAGAGTTAGACTGTCAGATCTAACCCCCCTTGGCCAGTTAACCAGTCGTATGACTTTGGACAAGTTAACCTAACTACCATTTCTCAACTCTAAAAAGAGCTAAAAGTTCCACCTTTTCAGGGTCGTGAAAGAGAAACAGTGCACTATTGCTGGGCATGGTGATGTGTAATCCCAATGACTTAGGAAGCTGAGGCAAGATAACTGCCAAGTTCTAGGCCAGCTTCAGCAACTTRGCAAGATCTTGCTTCCAAATAAAAAGGGCCGGGGTGTAGCTCAGTGGTAGAGCATCCTTGGGTTCAAACCTCAGTATAAAAGGAAGGAAGGGGGCTGGGGTTGTGGCTCAGTGGTAGAGCACTTGCCGAGCACGTGTGAGGAACTGGGTTTGATCCTTAGCACCACATAAAAATAAATAGATAAAAGTAGTCCGTCCATCTACAACTAAAAAAATATAATTTAAAAAAAAAAGGAAGGAAGGAAGAGGGAGGGAGATGGCAATATTCCAATGAAGTGTTATATCTAAAAATGTCTTTGAGTGTTTAGAAGGGGGATAGATAAAAGTACCTTGACCTAAGTAATACACTAAGTGAATAATACTCAGTATCCCAAGAGCATGGCTAGCAAGTACCCTCAGGCCCAGTTACGTGCTGGGCCTGTGAGAATGGACCTACAAATAGGAAAGAAGTTTTACTGAGTTTTTTCTTCCCAAGCACTCGGTAGGTATTGTCTTACTCCATACTATCATTCCTTATTTATTTATGTTTTTAAAATTCCCTATCTTGTTAATAAGAAATCCCAGAGTCAGGGAAATGAAGACACTTACCCAGGGCCACACAGTCAATGAATTTGAGCAGTATTTCACCTATATTGCAGGAACTTGACTCCAAAGTTCATAAATATAATTCCCTATATATTGCCATTTTACAATTTTGTGAGTTCCCAGAAGGCAAGTTCTTGTGGGACTGTGTGTTTGAGATGAGTAAGGGGGATCCTATGGGGATTAGTTAAGGAATGAGGATGTAGAGTCAATTTCCATGAARAAATGGACTGAATTTCTCTTGACAAAAGCAACAATGTTCCTCTGTTGTCAGCTGTCAACCTAGCTTTCCTGAAAAATTGTTCACTCTGTGCAGGTTTTGTGCTCAGTGTTAGGGGTATAAAGATGACTTAAAGCATGACATTTAAACCTGAGGTTAAATGTTATGCCCCACAAATCCTATTTGAAACCCACTTCCTTTGTCACTTAACATTACACCTACCAGAGCCCACTTGTTCCTAACTGCTGATGACTCCAAATTCTCCATCCCTAACCCAGTCTCAGTCTCAGCTTCAGACCACTTCACTGAGCCGCCCTCTGGACAGCTCCCCTTGCATATCCCGCAGGTCCTCCTCGTTCCACTCCTCTTCCTCATACCTGCTTTTCTTCATCTTAGTGGGAAGAAACCCTAGTGTTGCCTTTGACTTTCTTTTCTGTCCTTTCTTACTCCTCCCACCTCTTGGTCAGTCAATTGCAGAACACCTGTGAGCACCTGTTTCCACTCACACCATCTTAGGTTTCCACCACTCCCCTGGACCTCTACTAATCTCTTAGCTGGTCTCCCCAGATCTGCTGTTACTGCACACGGCAGCCTGAGAGATTGTCCTGAACTGCATCTCTGATGGTGTCATTTTCCTGCTCTTCAGGTGCTTCCCACTACTAACCCAGGTCCTTAGCATCTTGCTGACAGGTCCATACTTCTAAGCCCTGAATGCTGTGGTCTCTGCTGTCCTCTCTTCTCTTGCCAACAGCCCCTCTAACTTCCAGACAACCAGAACCTCCTACACCTCCGTGTTCTTTCTCCTTTTYCCTCTTCCTTAGAAAGCCCCCGCCCCCACCAGTGCTTGGCTAGCTCYTGACTGGTCCCTTCAGATATTTTTTTTTAGTTGTTGAGGACTTTCATTTTTATTTATTTATTTAGATGCAGCACTGAGAATTGAACCCAGCGCCTCACACATGCCAGGCAAGCGCTCCACACTGAGCCATAACTCCAGCTGCAGATCTCATCCACTTTTAGCAGGAAGCCTTTTGGGACATACTTGAAGGAAAGGTTGGGCATCCCTCCAGCCTGCCTGGAACAAGAGTGCCCTCATTAGGCACGAAGCACACTGCAGCACAGCTCTCTATTTACTAGTCCCGCTCCAAAAGCAGGGACTGTGTGTCTCACAGACTAGCTCATGTTGAGGTACTCATGATCTCAGCTTCTTATACTTTCTGAGTGCCACAAGGCCCAGGGTGGCAAGCAGCCCTCAAGCTCAGATGGACGGGTTCTGTCTGACTCTCGCTTCCCCTGAGGCACTTACCTGCAATCTCTGCTGTTGTGATTCCCGCTCCAGAACAGAGGCTTGTAGAAACATGGCTACCTCCTGCAGACTGTTGACACTGGCCTTGCTCTGGGCCAGGGACATCGCCAAGTCCCGGGCCTTCTCCCTCCACTCAATCTCCCTGGCTTCTGTCTGCCTCAGGACCATCTGTAGTCGCTCCAAGTCCTGCTGCAGCACAGGTGCTAAAGAATTCAATTTTGGAGATGGCTCTTCCACTGAGGAGGCTTTGTGGAGGCGGGGAGAGGCCTCCAGATTCATCCTTTGCTGGGCTTCTCTCAGTTCCTGAATCTCCTCTTCYTTTTGGGCTAGAATCAGCTTTAGTTCTTTTAGATTCTCACGCAGGCTCCACATCTCTTCTTCTTGCCCAAGACTCTGCTTCTCTTGGATCCTATWCTCTCGATTGCTTTGTGCCAAAGACTTCTCCAACAGCTGCCCCTGTTCCTTCTGCTGCCTTAGCTCTTCATCCCTCTGGGCAAGTGCCTGCTGAAGTTGCTTCACATCCTCCTGGTGTCGAAGATCCTGGTCTTGAATCTCGCCTTCTCGCATCCTCAGGGCCTTTTCCAGCTGCTGGGCATGTGTCTGACAGGTGCCCAGGGCAGCTTGCAAGGTGGCAGTGCTGGCCTCCAGACCACGGCTCAATTCTGCCTGCTCAAGGAGATGCTGTTCTTTTTCCTTCAGGGCAGCCTGGGCCTTGCTCAGGGCCTCCTGCAGAGCCTCTGCCTGGCCCAGTGCAGCGGCTTCCTGATCCCTGGAAGACTGGCTTTCTGCCAGCAGAGCCTCCAGCTCCTGGTCTCGCTCCTTGAGTGTGGCCTCTGCCTGCAGCCAACTGTCCTGCAGAGCTCTGGCCTCTGCCTCGTGCTCCTGTGCCTGCTCAGCACATTGTTGCTGAAGGGCCAGMAGAGCCTTCTCCTGCTCCAGAGACTCAGCCCTCAGGTCTCCTAAAACCTCCTCCAGTGCCTGAACCTGCCGTCCCTCCACTGCCAGCTCTTCCTGGAGCCTTCTCACCTGCTCCCTGTGCTCCTCCAGCTCTCCTTGGCACTCCTTCAGCGTCACATGGGCCTGGTCCAGAGCAGCCTGGAGGGCACTTGCCTTCTCCTCCTCCTGGGCCAGGGCCTGCTGCTGATCTTGCCGCAGGGCCTGGAGATCTTGGTCCCTTTGGGCCAGGGCTCTTTGGACCTCTTCCAGCTGACCCTGAAGTGCCTGCTCTTTCAGCTCCCCTTGTTCCTTGGTTTCCTGAAGGTGCTGCTGCAGGATTACTATCTCCTGCTCTCGCTGGGTCAGGAGCAGGCTGGTGTCACCCACCTTCCTGTGCAGGCCCTGGAGCTGCTGCTCCAGCTGGTCCTTATGCTCCTGAAGTTCCTGGATATGCTCCAGCTGGCATTCCACCTCCTTCTCCTTATCACGCAGGATCAGCTTCATGTGCTCCAGGCTCCCACGCTGTGCTTTACTAGGGCTCTTCCCCTCCTCTGCCCGCTCCTGCATCAGCTGCCTCTGGGAGGCCAGCTCCTGGCCACGCTCTCTCAAGGACAGCTTGATCTGTTCCAGGTCCTCCTCTAGGATCTTGGTCTGCAGCATCCTCTGGTCTTCCAGAACCTGAATTCTCTCCTTCTGCAACATCAGCTCCTGGTCCCTTTTCTCAAGGTCCTGAGTGAGATGCTCTTTCTGCCTCTGCAGCTCTTCTATTTGTTGGTGCTGGGACTTCACTTCCTCGTCCCTTTCCTGTAGCTCTCTTGCCAGAAAGGTGCTGTGGCTCTCCAGCTCCTGTATCTGACTGCTTTGTGCCTGCAGCTCCTGACTTCTTTCTTCCAGGTCCAGAGTCAGGTGGGTCAGAGCCACCCTCTGTGTTTCTCTCTGGCCCTCCAGTTCCTCAATCACCTTCTGCTGGCCCTCCACTTTGTGATGACTTTCCTCTAGCTCCAGAGCCAGGCATTCCAGAGTCATCAACTGCTTTTTCAGATCCTGAATCTGTCCTCTCTGGGACTCAATCACTTGGGCTTTCTTCTCAAGTTCCAGAAGTTGATGCTCCAAAATGTTCCTCTGAGTCTCCCGATCCTTCTCGAGCTCTTTGATTTGCTCCCTCTGCACAGTCAGCTTCTGTTCTCGCTCCTGGACAGCCATGGGCAGGTGCTCTAAGACAGACCTACACTTCTCCAGCTCCTGAATCTGTTCTTGTTGCAGATCCACCTCTTGGTTCCTCTTCTTCAGGTCCAGAGACAGCAGTTCTAGAGCTGCCTTCTGCATTTCCCGCTGCTTCTCCAGTTCCTGGATTTCTCCCTGCAAAGTCTCCACCTCTCCTTCTCTTTCAGATAGAGTCTGGGCCAGCAGAGCCAAATTCTCCTGCAAAGCCTTCCCTTGGGCCAACTTCAGCTCGCCCTGCTCTTGTAGAGCCTGGGCTCTCTCCCGCTCACTCTCCACCTCTTCGTTTTTCAGTTTCAGTGCAGAGCGAGCCGTTCTTAGATCTTCTTCTAGGACCCCAGCAGCACTTGCCTGAGCCCTGGCTTCTGTGACACATGCTTGCAGATGTTCAACCTGGGTTGTTAAGTTCTCTTTGGCTGCCTGAAGTAACTCTCGCTCACTCTGGAAAACAAGAGGCAAAACCACTTTAGGCACTGGACTTTCCCTTCCTTATTTTGTGGCATCAGCAATGACAAAGACTTGGGAAAAATGAACAATTAGACTTAAGCTGATCCTGTAAAAGGAATCCCTACCATCTACCAAGACTCTGCACGGTGCAGAGTCATCCCAGACCCTGGTCCTTCAAGGAAAGGGACAAAAATCTCAACCTAAACTCAGAGAAGGTAATTAGAGAAGGATTCATTATGACCTTAACAATGGCCTCCAGGGACTTGGGGACAACCAGAGGAACTGAGAGAATTGCTAAAAGGAAGCTGGGCACATTATCATAGGCAAAGGAGAGCGACAGCTACAGCTGTGGGCCCTGAGTACCACTCAGTGGCCCAATCAGTACCACTTTACCTGGGCTTCCATTCTCTGTAGCTCTGCTTGCCGGAGGCGACTCTGTAAGGATGCCACAGTTTCATGCAGCTCCCTCAGCTCAGATTCTAGGGTGCTGTGTTTTCCTTCCCACTTGAATTTCTCTTTGGGAAAAGCAGAGATACTGAAATTAGGTCCATGGTTGGGGTGGGAGACCACAGGAGTATAGAGGCAGATGGAGGATGGGGAACATAATCAAAGGAGAAGAAGGCCAGGAGAGAATTACATTCAGCATCCTAAGACATCACCCGTCTGCCAGCTGCTCCCATCTATCTAGGCTCCCTGAGGCTCCCAGACTTCTGTCTGTGTCTGCTGCCAGTCCTAGCATTGCCTGTCAATCATCCCAACACATCTTTATCCTGATCACAGAGATCCTTAAGCCTGGATTCCAGAGAGGGTTGAGCTAGCAACATCAGAGGTTCCTTCCACACCCCAATCACATGATTTTGTAGAAGCTCCTAGGGACCTAGGTGGCTCTGCTGGCTGCCCCTCACTTCTGTAGGGTGTCCTGGAACCCAGCTCTATTTGTGTGGATCTCTAAGAGCCCTCAAATGGCCTAAAAAAGGCAAAACCCATCATCCAAGTTTCCTTTTCTACAGAAGAATCTTGAGCCTCAAGAGCCTTCTCTCTCCTCTCTAAGCGGTCATTACCCTTTCCAACCCTTAGCTGTGGTACAGATGTTTCCCCGAGATTTCCTCTCCTTGTTTTCTCCCAAATAAGTCCTTATCCTTCTGCCCTAAAGTCTAATTTTGAGGACATTGTTGGCAATGAAACAAATAAGTAACATGAATAAATAACAAAAGAAACAGGATTTTAACTCTTGCAGAGACAGAAAAATGGAAATCCTGCCAGCTCCTTCTGTCAGTTTCCCAAATCTGTTCTTCCTGATCCCTTCTTCCAGGATGGCCCTCAAAGGCCAAGCAAAGCATACAAATAGTTCAAATGGCTCACTGCCCCTCTGGATGTACCTTAGATATCATCTCCCAGGTGTGGGTAAATAATAGAAAGAGTGGCTGCTAGGCTGTTCCTGCCACTTTTGGTCTTTCCACCTGTCCTCTCTGCCAATCTGCCCACCRACATAGCTCACCTTCCTGGCTCTGGGAGAGCTGTCTCTGAAGGTCCTGAAACTTGGAGTGGATCTGGCTCTTCTCCACCTCAACATCAATTAGACTCTGTGTCAGCTTCTGGGCCTGATCTCTCAGGTCATCCTGGRAAAGGAAGGCAGGGCTGAACTTGAGTCCTTGTTTGCCACAATGCTGTCCCAGCCAGGGCTCAAATTMTATTCTCACTTCCTCTCTGGGGCGGCCTGCCATCAAGGCCCTATTCTCAAATAGCTTCCACAGAACTCACATGTGCATTTTGCTCCCTGAAGTGATGATGGGCTCTACTCCAACTTGCCTCCATCTAACGTCTTTTGAAATAATTGCTCAAGGCCCTATTCCAGGGGTGTAACACCTCTACCCTCCCAAATACCTACTTCAAAGTGTTGCCTAAGGGCAACCTCTTCCTTCCTCGGATCCTTTGTGAACCAGAATGGACTGCCCCTTCCAACTAGTTCCACCAGTCCATCATCTGTGTCTATTACCGATTCAATTACTTCTGTCAGTTCTGTTTGCTATCAGAATACAGTCTGGTCCCCTAGCTGTGTCATGAGATTTCTTGAGGGCAGAGGKCAGTTCCTTCTCCTTTTGATAATCCCAGCTCAGAGTGGCTGGCATGTAAGTGGCCAGCAATTTGCATGGATGCTCCTATAAAAGGCAACCTCAAATCTTGGTGGTCCCTTTCTCTTGGAGGGCTTGGTCTAAGAATAAATTCCTTGCTGAGAGGAAAATGATGTGAACCAAAGCGTACACCTATAGTTTTATAGTTTACAGGGCTCCTTTACACCCCCACTCCTTTAATCTTCACAACAACCCCTGGGGCAGACATTAGCAGTCCTCCTTTGCAAGTGAAAACAAAGCCCAGGAAACCTAAATGCTTTAGTCACCAGCTGCCAGGAGGCAAGTGATAGGGAGGAGCTCATTCCAACTTGACCTCAGGAATAAAATAAGCCACATAGCTACTTGAGTCTTTGCCTCAGTCTTTTCAGGGAAGTGACCCTCAAGGAAGGAAGGCAGAGAATACACACCCGGGCCTGCTGAGTTTTCCACAGGTCTTGGTGAAGCTTGTGGAGAGCAGATTCTACAGCCTCAGCCGAAAGAGCAGTCAGGAGGGACCCTCTCTTAAAAAGGCTCCTGGCTCCATTTTGGCCTGAAGAAATGGAAGAAAATCTCCTTACCTGGCTGCTGTCATGAAAACAAATAGTCTTCCTTCCCAGATGTGGCCTTGGCCTTCCTGCTAGTCCCTCCTCTCATCAAAGAAGCCCCCCCTTGGTATTGGTAGTTGATTCATCAYATACTTTCTGCTTTTCTAAACACTAGGCACCAAGGTGGGTACCAGGTAGTTAGCTGTCATTTGTTATGCACCCTGTGGGCTATTTACACCTGTAACCACATTAACTCCTTAGAAAAATCCTGAGGTAGGTGCTTTTAATATCCTCACTTTAAAGTCAGAAGTTAGGGACTTGCCCAACAACACATAGTTAGCAAAATGGTAGAGCTGGAGTTCAAACTCACATTGAGTGAATTCTAGAGTGGTGATCTTAACTTTGATGTAATATTGCCTGAGGACCTGCGTTCCCCTCCTTTCTCCCCAGGGAGCTAGGCCTGGCTTCTGCKGTAAGGACTAAGAGCTCACCTGGTTCTGGGCCCCACAGGGTGGGAGCAGAGTCTCCCCCACCCTTCAGCTCTGGCCTGTTCTCACATAGAGACCCCAGAGCCTTCTGCAGAACAGAGTAGAGGCTGGCCAGCTGGGCCTGGGCATGGTTCCCAGGCTGCTGCTCAGCAGCCAGCACCTCCAACTGGCTTTCTGTGTTACGCAGTTGCAGCTGAAGTTCGTCAGCCTTGGCTTCTTGGGCCCACAAGGAAGCTCGCAGCTGTTGCTCTGTGATCCGAGAGGCCTCCAGCTCCTCCAGCAGTTGTGCTTCCTGAGCCACAAAATCAGCTTCCTTTTCCTTCACCTCCTGCCTCAGTAATTCCACCTGCCAGGGAGGAAGCCATTCACTACGAGCAGGGGGTGGATACCCTCTCCTCAGACCTTCTAAGCCTGACCCTGCTCGATCCCTTGTAAATCTCGATCAGGACAGAGGATTTCAGCTGGCTCAGCTCTAAAGCAGGTAGGGAGGGCTSGGAAGTGAGTGCCTAGGTCTGACACTTAGAGGCTAACAACTCCTGACACATAGGCCCAATCTATACTAATGGGCTCTGGCCCTGGTTTCCCAGGCTGATGTGCCAGCTCCCTATGATACCTTCCCTGAGATCCTGACAACTAGCCTAAGACCACTCATAACAATGGCTACCATTTACTGCATGCTCACTGTGTTCCTGACGCTTTATGTATTTCCATCACGGCTCAGAATTACCATCCCTGTTTATGGATGAAGGGACTGATGCTCACACAACCAGGAAGCAGCAGAGGCAGACCTGTCTAGCTAGCTCTTACTCCCACTCTTCTTCTCCCAGTCCTCTCTCCTCTGACCCAGGTCATGGGTCCCGCTGTGAGCAGATCTAGTCCTGGGAGGTCCTGCTGCTGCTACCTGACCTGGAGTGTTTCTTGCCGCTCAGTTCCCTCTGCTGTGTCTTGCCACCCAGACCAAGCATACTTGGAAGTGGCTGTGTGTCCACCAGGCCCACCTGGGCTCTGCACCTCTGGTCACTATGATCCAGGCTGTCAGGTTCCCCGCAGAGGCCATTCTCATTGGTCAGGTTCCCAAGCCTCCACCCTGCCCCCTGGCTTTCCCCTCCTGCCAGGGCTACTGAGGATCCAGTCTGACCCCTGTGTAAGAGGACTGTGAGCACTCATCCCAACACTTCAGGAACAGGCCTCCCCCAGGAAGCAGGGTTATAACCACAGTGGGGAGTACCTGAGCACTGAGTTCCTTTTGCCTTTCTTGAGCCTCTTGCATGTCACGGTGCAGGCAGTTCAGCTCTTGCTGTCGAACAGAGTCAGCTTCTTGTAAAACAAGGAGTTTTTGTTCCTTTTCCACAAGTGACAGAGTCAGGCTAAGAAGAAAAGGGTCACAGGGCTGTCACACTCTCAAGGAGAAGAAACTACCTTCTTACCGTACTGTTCTAAACATAGCATAAATAATTAAAATAGAAATACTAATGATAATGAGTATAGTGTCACAATACATGCTACCATTTACTGAGCACCTACGAAGCATCACTTCATGCATGACACCTCATTTCAACTTCACAGGTTATTCTATGCTACATTCTACATGTACCTATGCATGTACTTCAAATTCAACATGACTAATCTTCATCCCCTGTGTAACTTCAACTCCCCACTCATCTCCTACCATGTTTCCTAGCTCAGAAATGGTACCTTCATCCTCAGTGTCCCAACATAGAAACCACGACCACAGCAGAACTCTCCTTTCATCCTGCCCACATCCAATCTGTGACTATATATAATTGATTCTAACTCTACATCCCTTAAACCCCTTCTTCCCTTCCCTTCCCTTCTCCTCTACCTGCCTCAGCTCAGCATCAGTATCTCTCTTCTGGACACCTATACCAGCCTCCTGACTTGTCTTCTACCTGACACTGTCATCACCAAAAGATCTGTCCTTTCTCAAACTCCTGCAGCACTGAGAATGTATGTCACTCTCCATTCTGTCGCCTGCTGTTTCATGCCATTAACTGTCTCTTCTAATACCTCATAAGCTGAATTATGTCAACTTCCCTGCTTGAAATCTTCCAGTGGTTTCCTACTAGATATAATCTACAAATTCCTTGCCATGGCCTACAGCTTCCTGAATGATAAGGACTTATCCAACTCTCCTTGTTCACTATGCTCGTTACACCATACTCTTGAGTTTCACCAAACATTTTAAGTTTTCATCTGCTCAGGGTCTCTGAGCATAATTTCTATTCCTACTGTATAGAACTTTCCTTTATCMTTTGGCACAGATAGCTCCATTTCATCCTTCAGTGCTTGATTTAAATAGTGTCATGAGACACTGTTGCCTTCACTAACAACTTTCTACAGTGGGTCTCCCCTCTCTCACTTCCATTTCAACACCGGATTTCTTTCCTCTACCCTGTATGTCATAATCTGCATTAATGTGTTTGGAGAATTATTTGATTAAAGTCTTCCCCGTAAAACTATAAATTCTATTGGGTCAGGGGCCACAATGTCTTGTTTATTACTATATCCCCCACTCTGAAAGTATCTGATGCATAATGGATGCTATTTACTAAATTAATTAAGTGTAAGCTTTGAAGACAGAGACATGTCCTCTCCACATGTACCTGTATCCTCCAGAACTGGAGACGTGAAGATGAGGTGACCTGCGCAAAGAACTGTCAGAACTGTCAGCCAGAAAAGCAAAAACACCTCCATGGCTGTCTAGCCTACCTGGCTTTCTCCCTCTCCAGTTCCTTCTGAATTCGGCTACTCTCCTGGGCTTCTCTCAGCTTCTCCTGAACCTCCTGCTCCTCTAGTCTGTGGGAGTCATCCTGGGCCACCAGCTGAGACCTCAAATCCTCCACCTGAAAGATTAAGGGGATATGGACCAGATGACAGGGCAGGGGAACAATGGGAGGATGCTTCTAGTAGAGCTTTAGGGTCCTGGAACAACCACACTCAGTGGCTCATCTCTAAAGCTCTGGAGGTTCTTCCCACCAATTCCTAAACTATTCTTAGCCACCCCCTTCCCAGTACCAATAAGACTGGCCATCTGTCTCCCAGGCTCACAAATGCTGCACACAGGCAGATATAAATAAAATCTTGGCTAAAGAGCAAAAGCAAAATTATGGGAAAGTGTGTAGTGATTACATTTTTTTTAAACAAAAAAAAATCAGAACATCATTTGATATAGGATTCTGATAAGAAAAATCAGACTGAATAAGAAAAGTAACCCCCAAACGGGATGGATTCAAACTAAAAAGGTTCTTCTCAGCAAAAGAAACAATCAGGTGAGTAAAGAGCCCACAGCTTGGGAGCGAATTTTTACCACTCGCACATCAGATAGAGCATTAATCTCTAGGGTAATAAAGAACTCAAAAAGCTAAACACCAAAAAAACCAAATAGCCAAATCAATAAATGGGACAAGAAACTGAACAAACACCTCTCAGAAGATGATTATATCAATCAACAAATATATGAAAAAGTGTTCAAAGTTCTAGCAATTAGAGAAACGCAAATCAAAACTACTTTAAGATTTCATCTCGCTCCAGTCAAAATGGTAGCTATTAAGAACACAAAGGGCTGGGGTTGTGGCTTAGCAGTAGAGCGCTTGCCTAGTACGTGTGAGGCCCTGGGTTTGATCCTCAGCACCACATAAAAACAAATAAAATAAAGGTATTGTGTCCATTTACACCTAAAAATATTAAAAAAAAAAGAACACAAACAACAATAAGTGTTGGTGAGGAGGTGGGTAAAAAGACACATTCATACATTTCTGGTGAGACTGTAAATTAGTGCAGCCAATTATGGAAAACAGTATGGAGATTCCTTGGAAAGCTGGGAATGGAATCACCATTTGACTCAGCTATCCCTCTCCTCGGTCCATATCCAAAGGACTTTAAAAACAGCATACTACAGAGACACAGCCACATCAATGTTTATAGCAGCACAATTCACAATAGCTAAACTGTGGTACCAACCTAGATGCTCCTCAATAGATGAATGGATAAAAAAAAATGTGGTATATACACACAATGGAATATTACTCAGCAATGAAACAGAATAAAATCATGGCATTTGCAGGTAAATGAATGGAGTTGGAGAATATAATGCTAAGTGAAGTTAGCCAATCCCAAAAAAACAAATGCCAAATGTTTTCTCTATTGATATAAAGAGACTGATTCATAGTGGGGTTGGGAGGGGGAGCATGGGAGGATTAGATGAACTCTAGAGGGCAATGGGGTGGGAGGGGAAGGGAGGGGGCATGGGGATAAAAAAGATGGTAGAATGAGATGGAGATCATCACCATAAGTACATGTTTAAAGACACGAATGGTATTGACTCTACTGTGTACAACCAGAGACATGAAAAATTGTGCTCTATATGTGTAATATGAATTGAAAAGCATTCTGCTGTCATATATAACAAATTAGAATAAAAAAAGAAAAGAATTCTAAAAAAATTAAGATATCATAATAATGTAACTATAGATATTTTTGTGTGTAACTCATCTTTTTGAAAGTCTCTACAATAAATATATTTAAAAATAAAAAATAAAAAAAAGAAAGAAAGAAAAGCAACCTGATGTATAACATCACTGGATTCAGGATGAGAATGGGAAGAACAATCAGAACTGGGATGGCCTGAGAAAAACCTAGCTTTGTTTAGATCACTTCAAAGAAAGAGTTACAGTGGTTACTTAGCATCCTAGAATTAATAGACACCAAAATTTGCAGATGTTCAAGTCCCTTATATAAATTGCACCATGTTTTTGAATATAACCTAGGCACACCCTCTCATAACATTTAAATCATCTTTAGATGACTTATCATCCCTAATACAATGTAAATAGTTGTTATACTCTGTTTAGAGAAAGAGGTCTGTGCACATGTAATACAGATGCAATTTTTTCCCAAACATGTGGAACCCATGGATATGGAAGGCCACTTGTACTACTCCAGGGCACCGAGAGACACATGCTTAGCTCTGAGCACCCTTCAACTATCCACTTGGTACTGTGACCTATCCCTGTGCTCCTGAGCTCAGCAGCAGGATGGAGAAGAGCAGGGACCTGCTTCTGTAGATCTAGTTTGTCCTGCAGCAGGGTGCTACCCTCCTCCTGGAGAGCAGCAAGGTCATCTCTGTGCTGCTGTGCTGCCTCCTTCAGCTCTGACTGAGCCTCGCGGAGCTGGGTCTGCAGCATCCCAGTGGTCTCCTGCAGAGGGAGAAGACATCAGGGAGTGTGACGTATACTTGAGCCTTTGTCCTGAAACCTGCATTGGATACATACAGACATTTTGGTTTTTTCTATTGGGTTAACAAAAGCTAAGGCAGATCCATGTCATTCCAGCAATCCATGTCTTTCCCACCTCAACTCCTTGCCTCCTATTTGCTCTCCTGCTTCATACTGTGCACAGGGTCACCCAGGTTTCTGGGTCAGGGGCCCCGCATTGGTAGTGGTTCATCACCCAGACCATACCAACAGCCTCCTGACCATCCCCCTACTTCCACTTGATGCCTCTCTCTCACACACACACATACACACGCACACGCACACACACATGCACACACATACACACGCACATGCACACGCACACACACATGCACACACACACACACACATACTCTCTCTTCATTCTCTTTCTCCACTTGACTCAATGGAGAATTGTATCTAGAGCTGACAATGTAGCTTGATGGGTGAATGCTTGCCTAGCATATTCAAGACCCTGGGTTCAATCCCCAACACTGCAAAAGAAAAAAGGAAAAAAAAATATGTACACACTCATACACACACATATAAAATCATGTTCCATACCTGCTTTCTAATTGCCATCCAACAGTTTCCTACTGCCTTTAAATGAAATCTAAGCTTCTACTCTGGCTGAGGTAGGGTTCCTGCCTACTTCTCCACTTGCCCCTGAGGACATCACATTGAAGCTACACTGCTTTCTGTCCTTGAACTTCCCAAGCCCTTTTCTGTCTGTCCTAGGGCCCTTCAGAAAGCTAAATCCTCTAAAGTATTCTCCAAATGTCTGGCTTCTTTCTTTTCTCTTTTTCTTTTTAAAGCCTTTACTGAGGGGGCTGGGGATGTGGCTCAAGCAGTAGCGAGCTCGCCTGGCATGCGTGCGGCCCGGGTTCGATCCTCAGCACCACATACCAACAAAGATGTTGTGTCCACCAAGAACTAAAAAATAAATATTAAAAACATTTCTCTCTCTCTCTCTCTCTCTCTCTCTCTCCCCCCTCTCCTTCTCCCTCTCCTCTCCTCTCCTCTCTCACTCTCTCTTTAAAAAAGAAAGAAAAAAATAAATAAATAAAGCCTTTACTGAGATAAAATTCACCTACCATTCAATTCACTTGTAAAAAGTATACCATTTCAACACCTGTAATCCCAGTGGCTGGGGAGGCTGAGACAGGAGGACTGCAAGTTCAAAGCCAGCCTCAGCACTGGCAAGGCACTAAGTAACTCAGTGACACCCTATCTCTAAATAAAATACAAAATAGGGTTGGGGATGTGGCTCAGTGAGTGGTCAAGTGCCCCTGAGTTCAATCCCTGGTACCAAAAATAACAACWACAAAAAACAAACAAACAAACAAAACCCCACACATAACAAAAAGTATACCATTTCAGAAATTCAATATCATGTTCAACTGCTTGAATGGGATCCTAATTAGACATATTATACATTTGTACCCCATGTATGTATAAATGTATAATAAATCAAAATACACTCTACTGTCATGTAAATCTAAAAAGAACAACAACAAAAAGTATGCCATTTCAGTGTTTTTGTTTATTTTGGTGCTGAGGATTGAACCCAAGAGCATTCTACCTTTTTTATTCTGAGATAGGGTCTAAGTTATTGAGGCTGGACTTGAACTTGTGATTCTCCTGCCTCAGCCTCCTGAGAAGCTGGGATTACAGGTATGCACCACTATACCCAGCCAATTTGGTAGTTTTTAGTATATACAGAATTCTGAACTATCACCACGATTAAGTGCAGAACATTTTCATCACCCCATTAACAGTCACTCCCCATTTGCCACCCTGACACGACCACTAATCTGCATTCTGTCTCTGTAGATTTGACTGCTCTGGACATTTTATATTAATGGAAACATAATGTGGCCTCTTGTATCTCGCTTCTGTCATTTGGCATGTTTTTGAGGTTCTTCTGTTATACCATATATCTAACTTCTTTTTTTGGGGTATAATTGGGACTTAACTTGGGGCTTAACCCAGGGGCACTTTACCATTGAGTCACATTCCCAGACCTTTTTAGTTTTTCTTTTTGAGACAGAGTCTCATTAAATTGCTTAGGGCTTTGCTAAGATGCTAAGGCTAGCATCGAACTTAGGATCCTCTTGCCTCGCCTCCCAAGTGGCTGGGATTACAGGCATATGCCACCATGCTCTGTTGGCTAGCTTCCTTCTTTTTTTTTTTTTTTGGTGGGGGGTAGGGGTACCAAGGATTGAACTCAGTGGCACTTGACATTGAGTCACATCCCAAGCCCTATCTCACTGAGTTGGCTGGCTTTGAACTTGTAATCCTCCTACCTGAGCTTCCCGAACCTCTGGGATGACAGGTGTGCACCACTGTGCCTGGCTTGGCTAGCTTCTTTTTAACCTTTAAGTCTCAGCTCAAATGTCGTTTTCTTCTTCTTCTTCTTTTTTTTTTTAATATTTACTTTTTAGGTATAGTTGGACACAATGCCTTTATTTTATTTATTTATTTTTATGTGGTGCTGAGGATGGAACCAGGGCCTCACATGTGCTAGGTGAGCAATCATCTTCTGCTGAGCTACAACCCCAGCCCTTCAAATGTCAYTTTCTTTCTTTTTTTTTCTTTAATATTTATTTTTTAGTTGTAGTTGGACACAACACCTTTATTTCAATGTGGTGCTAAGGATCAAACCCAGGGCCTTGCATGTGCTAGGCAAATGCCCTACCACTGAGCCACACCCCAGCCTTCAAATGTCATTTTCTTAGTGAGGTCTCCCCTGCCCACCTTGTCCTAAGAGGCCTCCTTTGAACCACTCTCAATTACATCATTCTTTTTTATTTCTATTGGAACACTTACTACAAACTAATWATAAAACAACCATATCATTTATTTTGTGTCTGCTCATTTCACATCTGTCTCTGCCACCACAGTGTAAGTTTCTTGTGGGCAGGGACCAGGTCTATCACATTGACCACTGAGCTACCCCTTTATGTACTTTTCACATGTCAGCCCATAGCCTAGTCTTGGTGCATAAGAAGTGCTAAAGTACTATTAGTTGTTGAATGGGTGAATGAACACCTAAGACCACCCTCCATACCTGCTCTCTTAACTGCTGAACCTTCATGTCCTGCCTCAGCCGTTCCAGTTGTTGGCTGGCATCTGCCAGCTCCTTCTGGGTCCGTAGCAGTGTCTCAAGGAGGGACATTCTCTCCTTCTCTGTTTCCAGCTGCATCTATGGAGAAGTAGAAAGGGCAAGGGTTATCATGCTCACCCAGGAGGCTAAAAGCACAGCCCAGCTGCTGTTCTAGGGCCCCTCCAGCAAATGGGGTGGGGGCTGATGGCAAAGGAAGGTCTGAGCCCACTGACTGAGAACCAGGAAGTATGAAGGTAGCCACTGGTTTGCAAGCTGACAGGATGTGGTAAATGTCAGCCCTCCTTCAGGAAGTACGACATASTGAAGCCCTGCAGCTAACTGTGTAGAACACCCCGCTCGCTGGCAACTAAGTGGGTACTACATTCTCTTCTGGAAGCCCTTCTATAGCTTGCTCTAAGGACAGGAAAAGAAAATAGTTGGGGTCACCAATGGTAATGGATGTGCCACTCCAGTTGTCCTAGCTTCCCACCTGGCAGAGGGCACTCTCTGCCTGGGTCCGTTCCTCTTCCCTCTGTGCCTGGATGGCTTCAGTTTCTGTTTGTTTCTCCCTCAGCCTTATTTCCAGCTCCATTCTTTCTCTCTCTAGGCTCTCCAGGGCCTTATTCAGCTCCTTCTGAAGCCGGAAGTGCTCTTTCTCCTGGCCATGCAAAGGAAATGCTGTTAGAACCGAATGGGTGGGGAGAGGAGGCAAAAGAACTGGTTTGAAAGTAGAATCTCTCTACTTCTAGCTACGTGAGCCCGATACCCCACTAAGCCTGTTTCCTCAACTTAAAGTAATGCTTAATAATCTGCCTTATCTGTCTCACTAAATTTTTGCAGTCAAATGAAATTTATTTAAAAAAATCAAATAAGGCGAGAAAGGATGTGGGGAAAGGTGTCATGGCTAGGGAAGGTAAGTATCAAGAAAACAATGCTGGTGTGGCATGAGGATAGGGCACAGGTCAGGTGAGGGATCACAGTAGGGGGAAGGTCCAGGGTGAGAAGAGTTTGTGAGGGTGAGATGAGTTTGTGAGGTGAGGAGAGATCTCAAGGTTGTGGCAACATTGTGCACTGCCCCACTATGTCCCCTGCCAGCCTTATGTAGCCAAGATTCCGAGTCCTGCAGGTGCAGTAGGCAATGCTAGCAGGCTACTGATGCTGTGCAGGCTGTGGGCAGTCTATGATTTCTAGGAGTGCACCTGGCAGGTTTGTCTTGAATGAGTTCAGAGGGTAGGTAAGAGCCAGGCAAGTGACCACTTCTTTCATTAAAAGCTGGTAAATACAGTGGGCACTATGCTCAGTATGCTGGTGAGCCCACCCAAGTTGGGAGGCTGGCTTTGACCTCATGATCCTCCCACCTCAGCCTCCCAACTTGCTGGGATTATAGGTATGTTCCACCGTGCCCAGCTATTAACTCATTTAATACSTAGAAGTTATTTATACCATGCTGTCCAAACCACTCTTGTAAGCAGTAACACCTGGACCAAGAGTCAGCAGGTGGTGCACATTCACAGAAGGGAAATCACATCTGCCTCTCCCAACCCCAGCCATATTCACCACCTACCCATTTCTCCTGAAGCTGTTTGACCTCCTCCTCATGGGCCACCTTCTGCTGCTCCAGGGCCATCTGCCCATCTTGCTCAGCCTGGGCCAACTTTCTGGCTGCTCTCTCCCGCTCCTGCTCTGCTTGGCTCTGTTCAGTTTCCAGTTCTAGCTTCAAGCACCTCACTTCCCCTAGGATTCCAGAAAGAGGATCAGCTCTCTGAGCCTCTGTCCCTGATCCTTTTACCTAATAATATTCTTCTGCTCCCCATGAACCTTATGAGCAACTCCCATCTCAGAGGCCCTGCATTGGCTGGAGAAAAGCTCTAATAGCATCCCACTGCATTCCTGACTTTCACCATCCCCATGGATAGAGTACGCCCCATCCCATTTGGGTTCTCACCTTGGACTACTTCCTTGGCTTGAGTGACAGTTTGAATCTGGACCTCTAGCTGTCCCTTGGTGACCTCTATCACAGAATTTTGTTGTTGAGCCTCAAACAGATTGTTCTCTAGCTGTTCCTTGGCAGAGCTGTGAAGTTTAGGAAACAGGAAGAGATCTTACCCATCAATGCCCTTACCTTTCCTTAAAAGGAGTGGAGTTCTAAGTACTGGCTACCAGGAGAAGTTGGGGGGGCAATTATAAATTCATAATTCATTTGGAAGTCATATACTTAGGGCTACACTTTGCCTTGTGAAGCTCTCTAAGCTTGGCTGAACTGGATCAAAGCCTTACCTAAGCCCCATAAGTTGTTCAACAAGGTCCTGACGGTCTCTCTCCACAGCCTGAAGCCGCACCTCTAGAGCAGCCTTCTCTCTTACTAGAGACTCTTTCTCCTGGACTGCCCTGGCAAGCATTTCTTCCTGTCGCTTTGCTTCCTGATGCAGCTGTTCAAGCTGAACTGTAGCTGCCTCCTGCTGGTAAAGTGCCTGAGGGGAAGAAATTGGTCAGATATAGAGTAGAGGCAAAATTCCCCTGGTCTGCTAATACCAGGTTAGGGCCATTGGCGCTTCAGAGATCCTGGGCCCAGCACTGTAAATCTGAATGTTGCTCACTTAATAGCACTGGCATTTATCTATTTCCCTGAGCAACCCAGAGAGCCCCAGCCCTGAAAGTATGCTCTTCTATGAGCAAGACTCTCTGCTGGGGACAGAAGACCTGCACGTAAGGACTTTTAGTTTTCAGAAATAAGATGCATGTAAATCCAGGAAGAAAGTGACCAGTGACCTGAGGAAGGGATTCTGAAATGGAAGATTATGTATAATTATTATGAGAGGCTTGGTGAAGGGAAACGATGACCTTTGGGCCAGGTCATTCATTGGTTCAAGAAATAAATGTACTGGTTAGCCTTGTTATGTGTTCAGCACTGAGTTAAAAGCCAAAGGAATACAATAATAAGACACAGCCTTGCCTGACGGACATGGAAACAGATAACTGTAGAATGAATGGTGCAGATGTTGAAATAAGCATGAGGTGTTGGCAGAGCATATAGGAGGAGAAGCATCTAATTCAAACTGGTGGGTAGGAAGAAGTAAGGAATCAGCAGATTCTTGTAGGAATTACTTTAAAAAATAGGAAGATAGACCACAAACAAGTAACATTGGTCATTTCTAGGAAATAAGACTTTCCCTGAGTCATTTTCATCATGTTTTATTTTTTTACAATGAGTAGTATCTTAATTAATGGTGTCCACTGTATAACTGTCTTCTCACCTCATTTAATTTCTCTTTCATTTCTTCCTTTTCTTCTTGGATGCTCCTGAGCTCTGCCTGCAGCTCAGCTCCAGTCTCTGTAGCTTTCTGCAGCTGAGCCTCCAGGTGAGTTTTCTTTTCCCACAGTGCTTCCTTGCTCCTCTCTACCTCTGCCAGGTCCACCTGCAAAGCACTTCTCGCCTGCTCTGCCACCTCTACTCTGCTGCACACAGACTGGTTGTCATGCTCCAACTACTGGCCAAAAAGGAAAGGGGGTACAGGTCATCAAAGACAAGTGGTTAAAGTTTCCCTAACGGGTCTCAAGTGCTAAAAACCAAAATCCAAGTGAGATGTGAATCTATTCTCCAAAAATGAAGATGGGGGAAATCCATTCATTTGATCTGGTGCTTGTATTTTAAGTACAGGATAGGCTGGATGCTGGGGATGGAGATTTAAAAAAGGCAAAATTCCGTTCTCAAATAATTCAGAATAATAGAACAGAATATTTCTGGAGCTCAAGAGAACAGGGGGAGTAAGTACGGTCCTTTGCTAAAATTATAGGTTAAATTTATAACCTGTAGAGATTTTGGAGGACTTAGGCTCTTTGGTGGATTATTTTCTGGTGATTGCCAATATTTCACCTAATAGGATTAAAAACCTGGTCTTGCTTCCAGAGGACATCAATCCCTTCCCAGTTCTGATGACTCTCCCTAAAGCCTATACAAAGGTGGTTCTGCTAGAAGTGTGGGACAGGAGTATTTCTAATTCTCAAATCTAATCCTTTGCTCTCCAGTGTACAGTAAATGTTCCTTTTATTCATTTCAGAACTGTTTGATGCCAGGCACGGAGGTGCACATCTATAATCCCAGCTACTAGGGAGGCTGARGCAGGAGGATCTCAAGTTTGAGGTCAGTCTCAGCAATTTATCAAGAACCTGTCTCAAAATAAAAAAGGCTGGGGGTATAGATCTGTGGTAGAGTGCCCCAGTACCAGGGGAAAAAAAAAAAAAAAAGAAACAAAACTACATTTGGGAGCTAATCCCTTAAGGAGTCTGCCCTAATATGGGCATCAGCTTTGCTTGTCACTGGCGTCTCAGTCAGGTTCCAGCCCTGCATGGAGATCAGACAAATCTCTGCTCACCTGGAGAAGCTGTTGGTTCAGTCCAACTTTATCTAAGGCCAAAGCCTCATTTAAGGCACTGAGCTTGACAGTTGCAGCCCGAAGATCGGCAACCTCTGCCTTCAAGCTGTTCTCTGAACTTGAAAACTCTGCAATGGATTGTTCTGCCTACAAATCAAAGAGGGTTAAAGCGTTTCCCATTCCTAGTTTTCTTAAAACTGTAAACAGTTCACATTCCCACCACCTGTTGCTTTTGGTGCAAATATCAGTTAGCACTCCATCCCTTCCCCTACATTCTAAACAAGTTTTCCATTTGCCCATTTATTCCTTCATTGAGGAGTAAGACAGGAACTCACAGCATAGAGGCACAGACATAATGAACAAGCACAATTGTGAGGACACTATAGAAATATAGACCCAAAGTGCTCTGGGGAACTCAAAGAAGTCATTCATTCAATTTGGAAGAGTCAAAAATGCTTGGTAGAGGAGTTAACAATTAAGTTGGGTATTGAGAGATGAGGAACAGTTCCTGGTTAAAGGGGRAGGAAAGAAGCAGTCCAGGCAGAGGAAAAAGCATATGCAGAGTACTAGAGTCAAGAAGGAACATAACGGGCTGGGGATGTGGCTCAAGCGGTAGCGCGCT